AACTAATGAGGCTATTTTTTTAAAAGGTAGGACAGAAAATGACTTCTATACTTTTGAAAGTTGCCCAAAATTTAGGAGGTCTTTAGACCGAGCCAACTATATTTAACTCAATAATCATGTAGTTTTCCGCCAAAATTCATCCGCCAATTTGAATTCCCATGAATAAATTATTAATTTTGGATATTTTAATTTTGGCAGATGTTGAATATTCTCATGGGAATTCAAATTGGTGGATGAATTTGCCATTTATTATCCAATTCAAGTTCCTTGATTTTTCTTTGAGCAGATAATATTTTGAAAAATTTTAATTTGTCAACGTTTCAATGTGCACTTGCTCTCAGAACTGAGATGCAAATTCAATGCCTTTGGGTAACAGGCAGATGTTGAATATTCTCATGGGAATTCAAATTGGTGGATGAATTTGCCATTTATTATCCAATTCAAGTTCCTTGATTTTTCTTTGAGCAGATAATATTTTGAAAAATTTTAATTTGTCAACGTTTCAATGTGCACTTGCTCTCAGAACTGAGATGCAAATTCAATGCCTTTGGGTAACATGGTCATCCTCATTTGCATGGACTGCACATAGGTTACTGGATTAATCAAAAGAAAATGATGATTAGTAAAAATATTTTTTTAATTATATAATTAATATTTATGCATACACATGTATCTCAAAACAAAAGCCTTAGTTGTGTTACTGCTAAGGTTGCTTGCAAAAACCTCTAGTGACTGTCAAAACTCTGACGATTGACAAAACTCCCACATGCAAAACTCTGCTGAAACTCTAATAAACAATTAATGTGTAACTGTCAATTGATTTCTGGAGGAGTTTTGCCCACAACCTTAGTTTCTGCCATCTGTTTTAAACATTAAAAGTGATGTATTAATTAAATTCAAAAAATTTGGTATCTTAAAAGAAAAAAATACCTTTTGAACACAGTCAATTGTTCCTTTCTTAAATCTCAAACCAGATGGTTTGATTTCTTCTCCAAATATTTCTTACAATTTTTCAATGCAGATTTGGATATTGCAAAATTCTGAAGATGATAGCAAATAATAATTTTCACATTAATATATAAATAAGAAAATTCTTGTTTAATAAAAAGAATTAGTAGTAATATAAGTATACTTTAGTAGTTCCATCAGAACTAGATGATATTGTATCATCATTATCTGATATTGATGGAGCAAAATTTTGATGAGCTTGCTGTTGATGAAGATAATTATTTTCTTGAGTAGTATGTTTTTGATTTGCTTGTAAATTATTATTGAAAGTTGGATTTTGTTGATACAATTGATTAGACATTGTTGGTATTGGTATTGTTGATGTTGATGTTGACATTGATGTTGGAGAAAAATTTTTATGAGTTTGCTGTTGATGAAGATAATTATTTTCTTGAGTGGAATTTTGTTGATTTGATTGCAAAATATTATCGAGATTTGGATTTTGTTGATACAATTGATTAGATGTTGTTGGTATTGGTGTTGTTGATGTTGGCATTGGAGAAAAATTTAGATGAGTTTGCTGTTGATGAAGATAATTATTTTCTTGAGTAGGATGTTGTTGATTTGAAGCAAGAGCTGATGATATAATCAATTGAGGATTCTAAAGAACAAATCATACCTTTTTCATCATTCTCAAAAATTTCTGTTTCTTGATTATTTTTCCATTATTTTTCCTATAATATACAATATTTCCCTTGCTGATTGTTTTGGTTCAGTTAAGGGTTCTCGCATTCCATCTCGCACACAGCTCAGGAGTCATCCAAAAATAAATTTACTGTGTAGTTCTCTCCCTACAGTACTATTTTAGCTAAGGCGTCCCAAAGGTAGGATAGTATTTAATTAAGATGAGGTTGCCTTCAGCAAAGTTTTATCAAGGGGTGTTATTTATTAAGGACAAGGTTATTTATTGCAAAAGTGTTATGTATATTTATTAGTGAAAATAATTTAGTTGCAAGGTTATTATTAAGTTATTATTATTGTATCATGAACATGATGATTCTCACTTGGTCTAAAACCAAGCCTTTTTATATCTCTTGAGGTATTACAGATAACATGACTTTTACAATATTTTGTCCAATAAATATACTAATTTTTGTATTACATGCTTACTAATTAACAGGCAGCATAGTGGAAATTCCATTTATGTCACAATTTGATAATCACTGTTATGACATAAATTCATAATTGTTTAAAGTACTCAAAAATATGTGAGGTCAGTGTTGGCAATTGGACTTATTGGACCAGTCCAAGCAGTCCAGTCCAATAAATCTATTGGACTCTGGACCAATTCTAAGGGGTAGCCAATCATATTTCAGCATTTAAATTAACAATTATCACCTTTTATAGAATGAGAAAGTTATAATGAATATTTTTTTACATTGGACTTTCTATTTGTATTAATGACATTTAAATAAAGTTATTATTTTTATCTTATTCTTTTTTTAATAAATAAATACACTAAAATTCATACCCAAGTCTCTTTTTATTTGGAGCAGAAAGATTTTGTAAATTACTTATTTCTTTAGATGATGTATCAATAAAACCTTCACCATTATTATAAAGTTCATTTTCAATTGTAGTTTCTGTATCATTATCAGCAACCCAATTTAACCATTCTTCCTCATCTGAAAAATTATTTTGAAAAAATTTACAATTCAACAAATGATTATGACAAGTTTTTTAGTTAAAGTTATTTTCAATTCATTGATATTTATATTAGAGCTCTTACAAGCAATGCAGATACCCAAGTGATTATAACCATTTGGTTTATCAGGTAAAACATGAAAGTATTTTTTGTATTGGTTACTTCCTCAAGGCATTGGAAGAGTAATAAGTTGTGTGTGATTGATTACATTCTTTACAGTAATAAAATTATTTGAGAAATTTTTTATCATTGTATGACAAAGTCCAAATAAAATCTAATCCAGTCCAATAAGTCCAGTCTAGTCCAATAAATCCAATCCAAACCAATTGGACTGGTCTAATGTACAACTAAGCCACTTTTTTTACTGCGTCAATTGGACCGGCAATTTTGACAACACTGTTCTTTGCAATTGCAATTTGCAAGTACCTTGTCATTGCTTTGCCTGTTTTTGCGATGTTATTACAATGATATTGTAATGAGCTTCTGCTCCTCAATTTTTTTTTCATTCAAAAAAGGTTCATTATATAGTTGTCGAATAAAAAATATGTTGTTTCTTGATCATCTATTGAATTCGGATGATTTGTAATAAGAAATAAGATTTTGATTATTCAAATTGTTAATTTTTGAAAAAAAATACGGGACTGATAAACTTGATTTGCGTCGAACAAAATCCGAAAAACAATTTTCAAATTGTTACACCTTTTTATTGTAATTGGGCAAAATAAAAAAAATACGTCAAAATCCGAAAAACCGTTTTTTTCAATTGTTTACATAGCTGCGCAACCAATATTATTACTTTTTTATTATTATTGAGTAAAATAAAAAAAATAAGTCAAAATCCGAAAAACGTTTTTTGAATTGTTACGTAGTGTCCCGTAGCTGCGCAACCAAATTTATTTGAATATTATTATTATTTTATTTATAAACAATAAACAATATCCTTTAAATTATGGCTAAAAATTACGATTTTTTTTTTTTTTGATACAGATAATGTTATATATAACGAGAAGTTCTATTAAAGTATTAAAGCATGAGTTCGTTGTAAGCTGTTTGGACATGGCATCTGCAATGGAACGATAGGTGTAATCACCAATGTAGAAATTACTTTTCCGACTAATGGTAACATTATTAAAATGAACGTTCAAAAAATCACTATAAATTTTGAAATTAACGGTACACATGCCTCGAGGTGCCAATTCCCACTGCAGAATGCATTTGCATTGACAACTCACAAGACCCAAGGCATGACATTGCCACATGTGACTCTAATGATTGATGAAAATATGTGGTGATGAGCAGGGCTCCTTCTTGGGACCA